ATCGTGCTAAAACAGAATAGATCGATAACTCCGGTTTGTTCTCATATAGTTCCGACAACTAGACAAGAAGCTAATAGCGACAGAGCATTCATTCTTCGAAGCACTAGTGAACCAATCTAAATTGTAAACTTTATCCAAAATCCGTATGATATTAGACAATTTTTTCCTCTAATTATCAATTACCGAGAATATCTCACCATTGGAGCTTATATTGATATGGCTTTAATAAAGTCTCAAACCATCCACTTCCGGACCTTTGCATCGATAATATCGCAAAGAATCAGACCGGATTCATGTAACTCTTTAAGCCCAACCTATACGATGTGATTGGATCTAACGGATTACAATAACAATTTTTAAAATCATAATATCTTTAAAAACATCATAATAATAAAAATCTAAATCGAGTAACATAAAACATGAAATATCGCAGATTAAAAAAAATACTGATAACTAGTGTCAAAATAATATATACATTAAAGGTAATATAAAAATACGACATAAAATTAGTTATCAAAATATAGGCACATGTCACCAAAAGATGGACAGTTCAAAAGATTAAAATATTACAATAAAATTATTGTATGAAATGTGTTGATCCTCCAATTATCAGGTTTAGGGTGTCTATCCAAAATATCTAAAAAGAAAAAAAATTAGGAGAGTGAACGAAAGAGCTTAGTGTGTTCTAATAAGTACAAAATAAAACACACATATAAATATTTTTTTAAATAGATTTGAGAATCACATTAAGATTTTTTTTTAAAGTACAAAGTTAACTCTACAACCTTACACCATATTTAGTTTCTCAAAACTGCATACATAAGAATTTACCTTAAGCCGAAAAGATTTAAGAGTCAATATAAGGGAACACATTAGGTCAATAAGGACTTACCTAAACAAAGCGTAGGAGTCACTGAGAGGAGTACCCACAAGTTCATAAGAATTTATCCAATCCACAAAACAAATGACCCACCTTAAAGGAGTATCTTATAGTACACATAGTCTTACCACAAACTCTATTGCGCTTAGAAGCCTACCTAAGAGTCGCCTCAAGTCCCTAAAGAATTATCAGCATGATCACGGTTGAACCTACAGAATTCCAGAATACATCCCAAAAATACCAATAAAACAATTTTAGATAATTTTAGTAATTCAGTAAAATCATAAACTAGAAAATTTTCAATAAACAGTAACTAGAGAAAGACGACCGATTCGAGTTGACTCAATTCAGTTCGAGTTAACTCAGACCGATCTCTAGAAAAATCCTGGTTGGGAACGAAGCCCATGCACGGTAGTAGTGCGTGGCAGTGTGTGCGGCGACAATAGTGGCGGGAAAGGCGACCGATTTCTTCTGATGCAACCAATCACCAAAAACAACTCATATCATCTCAAAAATCCAACCAAAAGTCAATGAAGATTAAAATAAAGTAACTGGAAGCTTACCCAACAACGGTAAGAGAAAACGACAACGGTGACATAACCCACCTATTGGGTTTTGACTGAAATAACTCTAGGATCTCAGTACTGTAGGTGGTGAGGCGAACGAACGCCGAAGATGTTCGGAAACAACGAAAATAGTAATGAACAGATGGTTTTTCGGTGAAGCTTCTAGCTATCCTCCACAACAAGCGGCGAGCTAAATGGCGAGGGAAAGGTCAAGATTTGCTCGGCATGGGATGGCGCTCCAAATGATGATAGCAGTGTGACCTATGGACGCTTACAATGGCTGGAAATGGGCAGAGGGGGCTCAGTTTTGAGAAAAGATGATGAAATTTCCTGATTTTGGTTTAAGGGTGTTTTCATGGGGAAACTAATTTTTGAGATTATTTAGGGGTTATACAAACGTTTTAACTTATGAACAAAAGATATTTCTATCAATTTATGTCATATACAGTTGCCTAGCCTAGATGGCTAGGGCACAAGTTGGGTTATCACCAGGACACGAGTTTAATCATAGAACTACACATTTTATTTTACTTTTAGGGTGTGACAACTCGAACCACATTCACCCTTGTCAAAGCATCAATAAAAAAATTAATTAAACTCGAAACTGAAAGCAAAACCAAAAAGGAATCAAAATGTTCTTGCTTTCCTACTAAAACTTTCTGGGTTTTGATAGTGCAACATGGGAATTTGACCTTCCAAAGTATTTGGGATTTTTTTTATTTTTTTATTTTTTTTCATGTCACTTACAGGTGATTTATATGTATTTATATATTATTCAAGCCATTGAACAAAAGGAGTTTACAAAATATATCTTAAATTTCTAAAATCGCTCAAAATTTTAGGGTGTGACAATTCGAACCACATTCACCCTTGCCAAAGCATCAATAAACAACATGATTAAACTCGAAACCAAAATCAAAAACCAAAAAGGAATCAAACTATTCTTTCTTGCCTGCTAAAACTTTCTGGGTTTGCATAGTGCAACGTGGGAATTTGACCTTCCAAAGGCGATTTATGTGTATTTATTTGGGAAGAAGAAGAAGATACGTAAACTATTTGGGATTTTTTTATTTTTTAATATTTTTTCATGTCACTTATAGGTGATTTATATGTATTTATTTATTATTTTTAAATTTACATATAATACTTTCGTTAAAGGATTAACATGAGTTAACAACTAAGGATTAAAATCGAACACATCGATAACGTTAGGGACCACTTACCCTTAATTTTTAAATTGGTGACAAAGTCGGTCATACTGAAAACAAAGTGGACTATTCACATAGTTTACCCTTTAATAAATTACCTTAGTGGTTAAAGAAATCATTGTTGTTCCTAAAGGTCACGAGTTCGAGCACCAACGACTCCGAGGGTGATTGAGCGTTCATGTCAAATGGTTGAGAGTGCTTAGAACAGATATTACTTTGAAAAACATTTTTAAAAGATCTTTTCTACATAAATTTTAAAAATCACTTTCCAAAATCAATGCCAAATTGGCCCATAGTGGAAAGGGACGATAAGAACAGTTCTTTGGTGTATTCAGGTATCAGAGAAAATGTCAAAGAATGATGATTTTAGTGTCGACGCTACACATAGATAAATTTATAAAACTTTTATCTTTAAGGGCATAAGATAAAATGAAAAGAAAAATAATGTGGATGAAACGTAGATGTCATGTCAGCCAAAATTAGTCTAGACTAAAATATGTGGTTGTCATGTCACTCTTCTATTTATCATTTAACACCTGAGTAACCGAAATAAGAATAAATCAAAAGTTCAATGATTAAATTAAAAAATAAACTTTAGTGATTAGAATACAAATAAGATCAAAGTTGAGTGATCAAATTTCTAATTTACCCTTTTATTTAACCAAAAGATAAAACTATTCCTTTACCTTGCATCATTTCAATGGTTGTATTACATTTACCTCACTCATTGATACTAATGCTTGCTTTCAATGAGGGAAAGAAAAAGGGTCCATTTTGGGATTCTTTTGTCTTAAAAGATCTCAATTTTAACTCATGTTCAAATGCTGTGCTGCAATGCCCACACGAAGGTGAGTGGGAAAAAACAAATAAATGGTAGGAAAAAAGTGAAGAAATAAAAAGGAAGGTAGCAAAAATCTCATGCATTTTCATAGACTAAAGTTAATCTCAATTTTTTTAAAAAAAAAACATTGATATTCAATTAAAGAAATAAATTATTATTATTTTATTGATTAAAGAAATAAATTAGATCCTTGTAAATGGCCCACAAAGGAGAAAAATTGACAAAGAACAAAGGGATCCATCTTTTCCTATGTTCTAAAAAGATTCTATCAACCTTTGTATTGTATCTTATCCTATTTAGTGTCCCACATTGTATAATTTAAAGTAGAAAGTGAAAGGACTTGGGTAGTGATGAAAAAGAATGTAATGGTGATGATCACAACTCTTTAATAGTTTTGTCGTTCTTTGATTGAATGTTAAAATTTCAACTTTTTTGTAATTAAAATTTCTAAAGTAAGATATCAGAATGTTTTAACTTTTTTTTAAATATATACAGTAGTATATGTTTAGAATTTTTTAACTAAGACACAACTAGAACTAAGAACTCTAAAAAAAACAAATAAAAGAATCAAGTCATTTCATGAAAAAAAAAAATTCTTCATTTCATAAAAAATAAACTTCTTTAAGGGAAAAATATAAAACATATGAAATATTTTTTAGGGTAAACTATACGAATAGTCTCATTTATTTTCGGTCTGTTCGATTTAGTTACTGGTTCAAAAATTAAGTGTATTTGGTCTTTTATATTACCAGTCCGTTCGATTTAAGTCCGTTAACTTCCGTTAACCAATTAACGGAAGTATTATGTGATAATTTAAAATTAATAAAAAAATCCATGTTGCGTATTTCTTTTTCTTCTTCTGTTAACAACCTTGATGGATCTCCATAAGCAGCCAACCATGCTCAACCATTGAAACTCCAACCTAGAAAATCAAAAACTTCTTCTTATGTTAACAACTTTGATAGATCTCCAGGAGCAGCCATCCATGCATAACCATTGAAAACTCTTAACACCCATAAAATCAAATACACAAAAATCACAACTTTCTTTTCAACAGCCAACCATGCTCAACCACTAAAAACTTTAACCCCTTGAAACTCAAAAACCCAAAAATCGCTTTCGAGCAACCTTGTTTTCAAAAGAATAATTAACCAAACTTACGTTCAATTCAATTTGTCTCAAGAAATAATTCGACACGCGAGTAAAACTTCATGTTAATGACTGATCCACCATCGTTGACGCGTGCTCGGGTGTTATAAAATCATTGTAGTAAGATGAACACTAGTCCAATCTCTACAATCATCTGACCTCACCCACTGATATAATCAATCATCCTCCCAAGTCTCAAATAATGAAATCATAATCATCAACCAAGCATGAAAAATAAATTATAAACAAAAAAAGACTACTCGAAAGAAGAAAATAGTGTAGGAAAACAAGATCTGAAAGTAGCATGTTCACATTCTTATGTCAAAACAGTAGTGACGATAGTGGCGACAAGAGTGATGGCACAAATGAAAAGGTCGTTAGTAGAGGCGAAAAAGGGTGGAGGAAGGCCTTGCTTAGCAGCAGGCTTGGAGGCTGGAGCAACTTCACATGATAGGGCAAGAGCAGGAGAAGAAGAGATTGATGAAGGAGATGGTGAAGAAGTTGTCGGAGATGGCAATGACCGATGGGGAAGTTGGTGTTGGAGATAGGATCCGGGCCGAGGATTGGAGATGGTATTGAAGTTGATGTTGGTGTCGGGGTAGCTGTTGACTGTGGTAAAAATGTTGGTGGGGTTGTTTGTGCTTGAGCCATGCAAGAGGTGGCAGAAGACCTAACATAATCAAAACCTTAAACATGGTGCAACTCATCTTGACTAAACTCGAAACTTGGACGGAGAGAAAGGTGAGGGGACTGGACATCGGAAAGAGTTTTTTGTTTATCGGAGTTCGTGCAACTCATCTTGGCTAGACAAGAGTGCTTCGTTTAAATTAGAACTCGATATATGCTTCCCAAGATGATCTTCTCCTTCTTTTCGAAAACTTTCGATTTCTTTAAGCTATTTAACAATTGAGAATCGATGAACATTATAAACAAATGAGATAAAATTCGCATCATCAGCAAAGTTATCATTCTGTTGAGGAATGACAAGGTGTCCCTGACTAATTTATGCATTCGTATGTTCATCTACATGCAAATGGGAAATGGCAGTTTGAAATAATACACCCTGTAGCTTGCTTTTCCTTTACTGCCATCTTAAATTTGTTATTATGCATTTTGTAAATATAATTAAAATATATAACTACAAAAAAAATTTGTCACAATAAAACTTAATCTCATTATATATTGTGACAAATTTTTTGCACAATTATTAAAACTTATCGCTACAAAACTTATCACTATATGTCTTTTATTGTGCCAAAAAAATGAAAGGAAACATTTGTTGATAAAAAATGATAACAAAATATATTGTTTTCACCATATGCTACACAAATTTGTTAATTGTGAAAAAATATTATAACGATTTTGTTTTTTTTCACAAGTATAGATATTTTTCTAATTTAATGTTACACTTATTTATTTTGTCACAAAAAAACTATTAATAGTGACAAAAATAATTTTAACAAAATTAAATTTGACACAACAATATAAATTTCTTGTAATGTGACGTTCAAAGAAAGCTTAGGTATGTTTCAATTGTATTTTCCAGCTTTATGAATTATATTTTGGGATTATACATGAAATGCAATTTTGTTAATCTTTGAAGTATCTTCAATTCGGTACCATTAATTTATGGTTTTGGTTAGTATGACCTATGGAATTTGAAGAAGAAAGATTAGGGTTTATGGATTAAATTTGGATTAAGGCTTGAACTTGAAGGATTAATGTTTACATAGCTTTTCCATGCTTGAATCAAGATGAATTTCATGGATAAGTTGATACACAAGGTTAGGTCATGAAAAAGAAAATTAGGAAGAATTATCCAAGTTTATTTTGATGTTTATCATGGAGGATTAAATGTTGTTCAAGCTTTAAAATGTTGTTTGAAACAAAAATTCAAGTGTGAACATACCATGATATATTAGGCTATTAGGGTATTCAATTAGGGGTTTAAGGTTTTCATGAAATTGAAGTGTTCAAGTTGTTTGATATCATCTAAGCTTCATTTTGATGGTAAAATTATTGAATTTGGAAATCAAATGTGAAAACCCCTAATTTGGTCCTTGAAACCCTAAGAGAAAAAAATAAGGTTTTAATGAAATTTTGGTATTCAATGTTAATTTGAAGTGTAATTAGTTTTGATTGAGCATTGAAAGAATTTTTAGAGAATTCTTTATATTTGTATGCATGGTTAGATTGGATTCTAACATATGTCTTTGATTCTAGTTGTTGTGTAATTTATGTGTATGAACCATCCAAGTTCAATTGATGTGAAGTGATTAATAGAGGAAAGGATAAGAACTCTTATAAAGTTTTTGGGAAGATTACATTATGGTTGAGGTTTAAAGTGTTGAGGTGAGTGCATGTTTATGGTGTATTTATGTTAAATCTAAACATTGTCTTGCGATAAGTCAGTGAATGAGTTATTACGGTAAGAAGTGACTCTTGAATATTATGTGACTTTGAGATTCATGCATTTAGGTTAAATTTTTATTTAGAATATTAATAGAATTAGTGAGTAAGCTAAAGATGCAAAATAATGAAATCTACCTAAATTTTATGGTCTTGATAGTAGATCTGGAAAATCACCATAAATTCTATAAAAATGATTAGAAGGTGATTTTTATAACGATGTATTTTTTATGTCAATATAGTTTTGTGTAAAACAAATAGAGGATGGTTTTGAAGTTTATACTAGAAGATATGAATTTTTTATCGATGTAGGTCAGAAAACATGGCAGCATATTCTGCTCAAAATAGATTTTGTAAGTTGGACTAGAAATTTCACCATAAATTGTACAAGTCGAGCTAGAAATATTTCTGTATATGGTTAGATTTTTATTTGAATCTAGTTTCTAGAGGAAAAAATAGAATGGAAATTCAGTGTGTATATTAATAAAAAAAATCTTTAAGGATAGTGCAAGCTACCAGAATAGGGAAATGAATGGTAAATCATGCATTTGGCGTTACCTTTGTGTTATATGCCATTGTAAAGGCTTGAGACAAGTCAACTCTATTATATTGGCATGATAATTATGATATTTATCATATGATGTACATTTTGTTTACAAGTCAAAAAGGTAAGTGATTAATGATATTTTCATGATATATTCATGTTATATGGAAATGAAATATTTAGGGTATGAACTGCCCATTGTGCTATTATATGAAATGTTCAATATATTGTTGATAGGGGATGTCAGTAGAGTGATGAGTGTTGCTCGTTGTAAAGAAACAAACCTATAGAGATTTAGACTCGATCAAAGAACGAGATGGAATTGAGAGAAGGGATGGCGAAAATCTAAGATTTTAAGGGAATTAGGATTGATGAAAAGTTAATGAGAATAGACAAGATTAAGAAAATATTAATATTATAGAAATAATAAGATAAAGATAAATAAATAATAGGATAGAAATAACATAGAAAAAATTAGATATTAGATAGATGATGATAGATAGATAGATAGATAGATGATAGTAGATAGATAGATAGAGATAGATAGATAGATAGATAGATAGATAGATAGATAGATAGATAGATAGATAGATAGATAGATAGATAGATAGATAGATAGATAGATAGATAGATAGATAGATAGATAGATAGATAGATAGATAGATAGATAGATAGATAGATAGATAGATAGATAGATAGATAGATAGATAGATAGATAGATAGATAGATAGATAGATAGATAGATAGATAGATAGATAGATAGATAGATAGATAGATAGATAGATAGATAGATAGATAGATAGATAGATAGATAGATAGATAGATAGATAGATAGATAGATAGATAGATAGATAGATAGATAGATAGATAGATAGATAGATAGATAGATAGATAGATAGATAGAGATAGATAGATAGATAGATAGATAGATAGATAGATAGATAGATAGATAGATAGATAGATAGAGATAGATAGATAGATAGATAGATAGATAGATAGATAGATAGATAGATAGATAGATAGATAGATAGATAGATAGATAGATAGATAGATAGATAGATAGATAGATAGATAGATAGATAGATAGATAGATAGATAGATAGATAGATAGATAGATAGATAGATAGATAGATAGATAGATAGATAGATAGATAGATAGATAGATAGATATAGATAGATAGATAGATAGATAGATAGATAGATAGATAGATAGATAGATAGATAGATAGATAGATAGATAGATAGATAGATAGATAGATAGATAGATAGATAGATAGATAGATAGATAGATAGATAGATAGATAGATAGATAGATAGATAGATAGATAGATAGATAGATAGATAGATAGATAGATAGATAGATAGATAGATAGATAGATAGATAGATAGATAGATCGATAGATAGATAGATAGATAGATAGATAGATAGATAGATAGATAGATAGATAGATAGATAGATAGATAGATAGATAGATAGATAGATAGATAGATAGATAGATAGATAGATAGATAGATAGATAGATAGATAGATAGATAGATAGATAGATAGATAGATAGATAGATAGATAGATAGATAGATAGATAGATAGATAGATAGATAGATAGATAGATAGATAGATAGATAGATAGATAGATAGATAGATAGATAGATAGATAGATAGATAGATAGATAGATAGATAGATAGATAGATAGATAGATAGATAGATAGATAGATAGATAGATAGATAGATAGATAGATAGATAGATAGATAGATAGATAGATAGATAGATAGATAGATAGATAGATAGATAGATAGATAGATAGATAGATAGATAGATAGATAGATAGATAGATAGATAGATAGATAGATAGATAGATAGATAGATAGATAGATAGATAGATAGATAGATAGAGATAGATAGATAGATAGATAGATAGATAGATAGATAGATAGATAGATAGATAGATAGATAGATAGATAGATAGATAGATAGATAGATAGATAGATAGATAGATAGATAGATAGATAGATAGATAGATAGATAGATAGATAGATAGATAGATAGATAGATAGATAGATAGATAGATAGATAGATAGATAGATAGATAGATAGATAGATAGATAGATAGATAGATAGATAGATAGATAGATAGATAGATAGATAGATAGATAGATAGATAGATAGATAGATAGATAGATAGATAGATAGATAGATAGATAGATAGATAGATAGATAGATAGATAGATAGATAGATAGATAGATAGATAGATAGATAGATAGATAGATAGATAGATAGATAGATAGATAGATAGATAGATAGATAGATAGATAGATAGATAGATAGATAGATAGATAGATAGATAGATAGATAGATAGATAGATAGATAGATAGATAGATAGATAGATAGATAGATAGATAGATAGATAGATAGATAGATAGATAGATAGATAGATAGATAGATAGAGATAGATAGATAGATAGATAGATAGATAGATAGATAGATAGATAGATAGATAGATAGATAGATAGATAGATAGATAGATAGATAGATAGATAGATAGATAGATAGATAGATAGATAGATAGATAGATAGATAGATAGATAGATAGATAGATAGATAGATAGATAGATAGATAGATAGATAGATAGATAGATAGATAGATAGATAGATAGATAGATAGATAGATAGATAGATAGATAGATAGATAGATAGATAGATAGATAGATAGATAGATAGATAGATAGATAGATAGATAGATAGATAGATAGATAGATAGATAGATAGATAGATAGATAGATAGATAGATAGATAGATAGATAGATAGATAGATAGATAGATAGATAGATAGATAGATAGATAGATAGATAGATAGATAGATAGATAGATAGATAGATAGATAGATAGATAGATAGATAGATAGATAGAGATAGATAGATAGATAGATAGATAGATAGATAGATAGATAGATAGATAGATAGATAGATAGATAGATAGATAGATAGATAGATAGATAGATAGATAGATAGATAGATAGATATAGATAGATAGATAGATAGATAGATAGATAGATAGATAGATAGATAGATAGATAGATAGATAGATAGATAGATAGATAGATAGATAGATAGATAGATAGATAGATAGATAGATAGATAGATAGATAGATAGATAGATAGATAGATAGATAGATAGATAGATAGATAGATAGATAGATAGATAGATAGATAGATAGATAGATAGATAGATAGATAGATAGATAGATAGATAGATAGATAGATAGATAGATAGATAGATAGATAGATAGATAGATAGATAGATAGATAGATAGATAGATAGATAGATAGATAGATAGATAGATAGATAGATAGATAGATAGATAGATAGATAGATAGATAGATAGATAGATAGATAGATAGATAGATAGATAGATAGATAGATAGATAGATAGATAGATAGATAGATAGATAGATAGATAGATAGATAGATAGATAGATAGATAGATAGATAGATAGATAGATAGATAGATAGATAGATAGATAGATAGATAGATAGATAGATAGATAGATAGATAGATAGATAGATAGATAGATAGATAGATAGATAGATAGATAGATAGATAGATAGATAGATAGATAGATAGATAGATAGATAGATAGATAGATAGATAGATAGATAGATAGATAGATAGAGATAGATAGATAGATAGATAGATAGATAGATAGATAGATAGATAGATAGATAGATAGATAGATAGATAGATAGATAGATAGATAGATAGATAGATAGATAGATAGATAGATAGATAGATAGATAGATAGATAGATAGATAGATAGATAGATAGATAGATAGATAGATAGATAGATAGATAGATAGATAGATAGATAGATAGATAGATAGATAGATAGATAGATAGATAGATAGATAGATAGAGACAGACAGGCAGGCAGGCAGGCAGGCAGGCAGGCAGGCAGGCAGGCAGGCAGGCAGGCAGGCAGGCAGGCAGGCAGGCAGGCAGGCAGGCAGGCAGGCAGGCAGGCAGGCAGGCAGACAGACAGACAGACAGACAGACAGACAGACAGACAGACAAACACAGACAGACAGACAGACAGACAGACAGACAGATAGATAGATATATAGTTATCCTATAAACTCTCCCTTCTAATTTCAATTAACTAGGTAAACTCGATAATCGGCTCTAACCAACCCTCCTAATCGTAAAGAGAAGGCAAATCGAAGTGTGAAGATCTCCTTTATGAAGAACTTGAAAGAACTTAATGATGAAGAATGCTAAGAAGGCATAAGGTAATAAACACTTGAAAAAACAAACTCTCGTTGTATTATTAATCAAAGAAATCTAATTTACAATGATGAATGAGGCCTCATTTATATAGGAGATGAGTTCTAAAAGTCCTAAGCAACTAATGAATAAAATAGTAATAAATTAAACCTGTTTTAATTCTAATTTATAATAAAATAATAATAAACTAAGAATAATTCATCATTCTATATTAAATTATATAACAAATATTCAATAAAAATATTGAAAATTCATACTATTTAAAAAATCTCGTATTAAACCCATATAAGAATCTCTTAATGTGTTATCTTCACTAAAATGAGTGTATCTTGAGTTCCCGATATCATATTGATATAATTCAAGAACCGTTTGAATGACAAGAGACATATGATCATATCTCATGAAGACGTGTTGAAGAAACAACATTAGGATCCCATTTTAAAGGTAGTCACAAGTCTGTTGCTATTATGTTCTTCTTTTCCAAGGCTTGGTCATATGAATTAATTGGAAGTGTTAGTGTATCTTTCTTTGATGTCAGCCTTGTGATGCATATATCATTCTCTCTCTCTTCAAAAAGAGTTGACCTTGAATCTAAAAAATCAAAGGGAGAAACATTTAGTTCTTTAAAGAATTCCTTCATATTATACTTTCATAATAGATATGCTTTGAAACTTCGAGAGTTTGTTCTTCTAAAGGTTCGAGTAGAAATATTAGCCTAAAGAATCATGTATTATCATTAAGGACTCTGGTGCTTGTATCATTCCCCCTCTCCTTAAAAGGATTCATCCATGAATCTGAAAATCCAAGAGAAATAAAATTAGATGTTTTGAAAGGTAAGCTTGTAAAACGCTTACCCGAATCAATGTTATGTGTCTATATACGCTTTAGTAGAGGTTTCTTCCTTGTTGGTGAATTGATTTCTTGTTGTCTTGAAATACTCTTTTTCACACAAGTATTGTAATCAAGTGTGTACATTGAAATTCAACATGGCGTCGACCACTGTTGGCTTTCTTTATGATTGCTTCATAAGTTCTCTTTATGGTTTTAATCGTGTGTGTCGAGAAGGAGTGTTTAAAAATCATGTCAATTGATTTCTTAAAGTAATCCCTTAAGTCTCCTAAGTGTGGTTTATGAACTAAAAATTCTCATGAGGAGATTTGTGGACTATATAACATGTTCAATTGAAAAAGAAATTCATCTACAAGATAAAACTCATTAAAAGCACTTTTAAATATGTTCAATTCTTGGAATAGTAGTAAAATTTTGATATTAAGAGTATAACTTTGGGATATTGCATCTTCTACTATGTCTTGTTTACCTAAGTTTTTTAACCACTTAAAGGATTTGTGGTTAGTATGGATGATAACTTTAAGAGTCTTACCATGTAAAAAGGAGAATAAGTAGGTTAGAATATCATTTAAATTACTAATAACATACTTAACTTTAGAATCTTGTAAATCATGATTCATCACTGATATGGCATAGTGATTAAGGGTTTCTGGTGATAACTCATTAGGAGGGTCACCTAACACCATTCAACAACTTTGTAAAGGAAGAATAAATGTACTAGGAATAGATAGATAGATAGATAGATAGACAGACAGACAGACAGACAGACAGACAGACAGACAGGCAGACAGGCAGGCAGGCAGGCAGGCAGGCAGGCAGGCAGGTAGGCAGGCAGGCAGGCAGGCATGCAGGCAGGCAGGCAGGCAGGCAGGCAGGCAGGCAGGCAGGCAGGCAGGCAGGCAGGCAGGCAGACAGACAGACAGACAGACAGACAGACAGACAGACAGACACAGACAGACAGACAGACAGACAGACAGACAGACAGATAGATAGATATATAGTTATCCTATAAACTCTCCCTTCTAATTTCAATTAACTAGGTAAACTCGATAATCGGCTCTAATCAACCCTCCTAATCGTAAAGAGAAGGCAAATCGAAGTGTGAAGATCTCCTTCATGAAGAACTTGAAAGAACTTAATGATGAAGAATGCTAAGAAGGCATAAGGCAATAAACACTTGAAAAAACAAACTCTCGTTGTATTATTAATCAAAGAAATCTAATTTACAATGATGAATGAGGCCTCATTTATATAGGAGATGCGTTCTAAAAGTCCTAAGCAACTAATGAATAAAATAGTAATAAATTAAACCTGTTTTAATTCTAATTTATAATAAAATAATAATAAACTAAGAATAATTCATCATTCTATATTAAATTATATAACAAATAATCAATAAAAATATTGAAAATTCATACTATTTAAAAAATCTCGTATTAAACCCATATAAGAATCTCTTCATGTGTTATCTTCACTAAAATGAGTGTATCTTGAGTTCCCGATATCATATTGATATAATTCAAGAACCGTTTGAATGACAAGAGACATATGATCATATCTCATGAAGACGTGTTGAAGAAACAACATTAGGATCCCATTTTAAAGGTAGTCACAAGTCTGTTGCTATTATGTTCTTCTTTTCCAAGGCTTGGTCATATGAATTAATTGGAAGTGTTAGTGTATCTTTCTTTGATGTCAGCCTTGTGATGCATATATCATTCTCTCTCTCTTCAAAAAGAGTTGACCTTGAATCTAAAAAATCAAAGGGAGAAACATTTAGTTCTTTAAAGAATTCCTTCATATTATACTTTCATAATAGATATGCTTTGAAACTTCGAGAGTTTGTTCTTCTAAAGGTTCGAGTAGAAATATTAGCCTAAAGAATCATGTATTATCATTAAGGACTCTGGTTCTTGTATCATTCCCCCTCTCCTTAAAAGGATTCATCCATGAATCTGAAAATCCAAGAGAAATAAAATTAGATGTTTTGAAAGGTAAGCTTGTAAAACGCTTACCCGAATCAATGTTATGTGTCTATATACGCTTTAGTAGAGGTTTCTTCCTTGTTGGTGAATTGATTTCTTGTTGTCTTGAAATACTCTTTTTCACACAAGTATTGTAATCAAGTGTGTACATTGAAATTCAACATGGCGTCGACCACTGTTGGCTTTCTTTATGATTGCTTCATAAGTTCTCTTTATGGTTTTAATCGTGTATGTCGAGAAGGAGTGTTTAAAAATCATGTCAATTGATTTCTTAAAGTAATCCCTTAAGTCTCCTAAGTGTGGTTTATGAACTAAAAATTCTCATGAGGAGATTTGTGGACTATATAACATGTTCAATTGAAAAAGAAATTCATCTACAAGATAAAACTCATTAAAAGCACTTTTAAAAGAATGTGTAAATATATTAGAAATCTCCAAGTCATAATGATGTACATCTTTGATATGTTCAATTCTTGGAATAGTAGTAAAATTTTGATATTAAGAGTATAACTTTGGGATATTGCATCTTCTACTATGTCTTGTTTACCTAAGTTTTTTAACCACTTAAAGGATTTGTGGTTAGTATGGATGATAACTTCAAGAGTCTTACCATGTAAAAAGGAGAATAAGTAGGTTAGAATATCATTAAAATTACTAATAACATACTTAACTTTAGAATCTTGTAAATCATGATTCATCACTGATATGGCATAGTGATTAAGGGTTTCTGGTGATAACTCATTAGGAGGGTCACCTAACACCATTCAACAACTTTGTAAAGGAATAATAAATGTACTAGGCAAGCTAGTTTTATTGTTAGAAATCAAAATCAGTGGTTGTCTAAAGTGGATGATGAGTATTTTATTTTATTATTATTTTGTTTCTAATTACTCCAAATTATCTCTTTGATATTATTGATTTGGGTTGTTTATGTTCAATTCTGCGCAGGACTCTATTTTCTAGAAAACATCATTTAACGAAGAGTTTTTTAGTTTTTTTTTATTTTTTTGAATCAATGTTAGACACATGGGCATGGCTTTGGTCCTGACGATGTCAACGTGGCAGAATATGTAGTTCAGTCAGCGACAACTTCTAGAAGGTGACCCTTTTAGCAAAATTAGAAAGGAATGTCAGACGGATGAAAATCTTTAGGATTTAAGAATTGTAATTGAATTTATATATTTGGGATTTATTATTTAATTATTAAGGATTTAAGTATTTGAATGTTTTTAGAATTATATTTAGGAGTTTTGTTTTCTTTAGGATATCTCAAGCTATAAATACTCTTAGGGTAAAGCTTGAAAAACATGTATTGCTTTTGGTTTTTATTTGCTTTGGATTTTTATTCTTATAAAGGTTATTTTCTTCTTCATCTCTATTTATTTTCTTTTACTTTCTTTTACATTCTAAGTATGATTTCTATCATGCTTAGCTAATTCTCCATTTAGTCGATAGCTAAACGATGACTCAATACGTTTCATAAGAATTCAAGAACACTTCATACCTTCAGATTTCTTTCTCAATTTTCTACAAACTTGAATTGGCAATTGGTCTCTCCTTTACATATCTCTACACCTTCAATTTAAAAAGTGTGTTTTGGTTTGATAAATGCTTTGATTTATCATTGGGAAGAAGATTCAACTTATAGTAAATTCAACTTCCTAAGAACACACTTAGTGATGGCCCGCTAAGGGAAGTCGAGATCGGGTTCGACTCTCATTGAGACACCATAATCCAAGCATGGGCTTTTCCAGCACTCAAAGTTACAATAGAGTTAAATCGATAGTTATTTTTAATTCAAACAAATACTAAATTCCAATGATTGACTTTGGGAAATTAGTTCATCAGAGAGAAGAGTATGTTATAAAGGTTGGGCCTTGTAGACTGTAGTCAGCATGAATCCTGAAGTAAAATCCCTTTCAATGATCGAGACCAATTGAGGCAAAGTGAAGCTGAAGACTATCTCTCATCATAATTATTTTCAATCATCTATTTTTTTATTTATTACTTTTACTTTATTCAAATTATTTTGCCAAAACCCTTTATATTTTTTCTTACAATTTCCTTAGATCAAGATCAATTCAAACCAACATTAGAAATTTCTAAGTCCCTATGGATGGACCTTTTCTTCTTTTTATTATGTTTATAGCTTATTTATCTAAGAAAAAGGCTTATTTATTTAACAAATTATGCGTTTGTTACTGGACATCAATGCAAGGCTCTTTGTGAAGAAGGTACTCTCTTAATTCTTTTGTGCTCACATATGTATTTGCAATCACTCTTTTCTTCTCACAATTAGGTTCACTCGCCTTCCGTGTGTCATTATTCTTTTGTCTTTGGTAACTAATGACCTCTTTTGTTTTGTCTCTTTTTCACTCTTTTTCTTTTGTGTTTCCCCACCCTCTTTACAAAATTTCATCACATAACTTTCAAGTTCATCTTTTTATTCTAATGGTGTAAGGCTAAATGACTGAAGATCGATATCTTATATTAAAAAGTTTATATCATCGTATTCATCATTGTCAATGTCTTATTCATTATTCATGGTAGAAGGTGGAGTAGAAGATAAAGTGGAAAGGTTTAAAGTACCTTGATATTGTTCTCTATACTGATATATCCTTTGAATACGTGCCTCAATTGTAATTGTTTTCTTCAATGTGTTTTCAAGACTTTCATAATCATTTAGGTCAAGGAGATCAATAATGTTCGGGTTCAAGCTATCAATAAATCTATTAATTATATATTCGTTTGCTTCGTGTATGTCTACATGATTCATTAAGGATGTCATCTTCTTGTAGTAATTTTCCACTGAGCTTTGACATTTTCTTAGTATTTTAAGTCTTTGTTTAACTTCACGGATTTAGTGTCGGAAGAAACATTTTCACATAAGTTGTTTCAATACTTCCCATGAATCGATTGCTTGTATCCTTTTCTCTTGAATAGTTTTTTATGTTTGTATCCACCATGTGAGTGAATAATCTAAAGATCCCATTTCTATTAAAGGTACGTACTCCCCTATAGGACAATCATGATGTGAAAACATAAGATCAACTTTGCTTTCCTAGTCGATATAACCGTATGATTCATAGTCTCTTTTGAATGGTGGTTTTGAACTTCGGTTTAGCAAAGACTTCTGGCATTATAAGTCTAGGTTTTCAACGTCTTAGTTGCATTAGGTTTTATGGAACTTTTATTGGTTGAATGTCGACATTGTATTCTTTTATTTTCGTTTTTGATGTTTATATTAGCCATTGTGGTCATTTCTTGTTGTTAAATGGCATTAAGCATGTCCATTTTTCGATTAATATCAACCACGATTCCTCGCATTGCCTCCAAAATTTTGTTTTCTTTTACCATCCTGAAAAGTCACAACACTCAAAGGAACAATGTAAAGTGGAAAAAGAATCAAAGAAACAATAAGCCTTACAATTCACTCCAAGGATGTAATACACCGATAGGTAAGTTAGCTGATTTTTTACTCTTGAAAAATCTATTACCAAAAAATCTCCTAATGTTCATAAAGGAGTTCAATCTCTAACAAAGATGAAAAAATAACTTACAATGCTCTAAGTTGTCAACCTAAGGTTACGACTCCAATTGAACGAGAATACAAGAAAGAAGAAGGATGAAACTCTTTTAATCCTACTAACATAAGAGACAGAATGTGTTATATTATGTCAAGGAACAAAAAAAGGAAAGACAAAAGAACCTAAAGTAATAAGAATAAAAAAGTAGGAAAACCAAACCCAGAAAATCTAAAATGCATGATCAAATTTAGAAACATTTTTTAGGAGGTTTCTATTGTCCAAAAATTTTGAACTTTTTTTCGGATGTCATCCTATGGAAGTAGTTTCAACCTAGAAAAATTCAGTGCAAAATACCTTCAGTAGTATTCGATGGAACCCTTGAATGTTGAATCCTAAAACTACCTATTTTTCTTGATCACTTTGTTTGAAAGGGTTTTAGGTATCTAAACAACCATATTTTTGTATTGTAAGTCACCCTTGGTATGAGGAAGAAGCATCTAAATTTTTAGATCAAAATTCCCTCCGTAGAATTTTCTTGAAATGTTTCAACGAAGAATCCTAAATTCGTTGAACAAACTTGAATGGTCATTTTGAAGGATCTTTTGATGTCCGATTGACCTAAATTTTATATTATGAATTTCTATTGGGATGAAGAATGTACCTGTAAAAAATCAACTCTAAATTCCTTAGTTTACATTTTTTAGAATTTTTTGTTGTTTTGGGTGTTTTTCTCGTTTTGCCTTTTCTCTTTTCTTTTTCGATTTGTTTTATTTTTTACTTTTAGATAAAAAAAATCAAAATAACAAGAATAAATTGAAAATAAATTAAAATATTGTAAAAAAACTTGAAAATGATTAATCGTTATGAACTAGCCCTATTAGGGTACCTTGATAGTTTATGCATGCAAGAACAAGCTAAAATGCTTAATTGTCTCTAAGAATCAAATCTAAATCTGATACCAATTGATAAGGGATGACATTAGATTGATGAACTTTACTCGTTGTAAAAAATCAAACCTAGAAAGATGTAAACTCTATCAAAGAATGAGAGGGAATTGAGAGAAGGGGTGGTGACAATCTAGGATTTTGAGGGAATTAGAATTGCTGGAAAGTCAATGAAAATAGAAAAGATTAAGAAAATTAAAATATTATAGAAATAATAAGATAAAGATAAACAAACAATATGATTGAAATAACTTAGCCAAAATTAGAATTTTGGCAGTGATAAGCGATGATGGTGATTTGATGATGGTGGTGGTGATTAATAAATAGTTGTCCTGGGAACCCTCCTAGTCACAATTAACTAAGAAAATTTGATAATCGAATCTAACCAAACCTCCTAATTGCAACAAGAAGGCAAACCAGAGTGTGAAGATCTCCATCACAAAGAACCTGAAAGAACTTAATGATGAAGACTGCTTCGGAGGCACAAGGCAATCAATACTTGCAAAAACGAACTCTTGTTGTATTATTAATCAAAGAAATCTGATTTACAATGATGAATGAAGCCTCCTTTATATAGGAGAAGAGTTCTAAAAGTCCTAAGCAACTACTTAATAAAATAGTAATAAACTAAACATGTTTTAATTCTAATTCTAAATAAAATAATAATAAAATAAGAATAATATGTTAAATCAATATTAATTCCTAATAAAATAATAAATCTAATCCTAAAAGATAATGCATCCTCATATATTAAATTATATTACAAATAATCAATAAAAATATTAAAAATTTGTAATATTTACAAAATCTCGTATTAAACCCGTATAAGAATTTCTACATGTGTTATCTTAACTCAAATTAACATATCTTGAGTTTTCGATATCGGATTGATACGATTCATGAACTTTTGAAAATCTAAGAGACAGTCGATCATATCTCTAGACTACATGTTGACTAAGAAACATCAGTATCCTATTTAAAAAGTAGTCACAAGTGACATAATTTTATGACGTCTTTTAAAATTGTCATATAAAAAAGAGATAAAAACAAGTGACAAATAATTGATTTCATCGTGCTAAAACTATTTTTTGTGACAATAATAAAATGTCACTTTTAGTGTCTTATAAAATATGACAAATTAAATTGTTACGAATAAAACTTATTAGTGACAAATGTGAAATGCCACTATTTCAAATTCAATCGTCATTATAATAAATTGTTACTAATACTTGTTTTTCTTTGGAGACGATTTTACAACGTCATTATTTTATCTAAATGTCATTAAAAGGTTTCCCACCAAAGAAATTGGTGGGAAGATTTTGGCGCCAAACATATAGTGACAAAAATTAATGACCATTTTTAAAATTGTCATAAAAGATATACCATTAATCAATAAATATGATAAAAATAAAAAAAACGTCACATTATAGTATATTTTGTGACGATATAAGTAACGTCATATAGAAATTTTGTCATAAATTGACAAATTTGTTGTAGTGGATCAATTGGAAGAACTAGTTCATCTTCCTTTGATGTGAGCCATTTTTATGCATGCATCAATTTTTATCTATGATAATTGATTAACAGGTGATAATTAATGGAAATGCCCATTGTATGTGCATTGAGAGTCCT